CTCCATTTCTCCTTTCAGGATTTTGGGCGCCCACACACATGCTCCAATGTTTTTCAAGCTGTTGGATCCAGGCACCTTAACCACCACACTACCACCTGGACCCACTTAGCAGCATTCTTAACCATCATTACGTGAGCCCATCACAGTCCCACACACTTTGTTCATTAATATTAGTGGCCCACCCTCTTAAGAGCTCTGTTGTATTTACCCTTCAGACATTTGGTCCAAGGCCCTTAGCTCCCCTGGAACACTACATAGCTCTGAGACGATAGCTCCAAGTGCTCCTATTGGTCAGTGTCCTTCTGGAGAAGTCTTGCCTGGGGATTTTGACCAGTGCAGGCAGGGTGGTGTCCACAGTGTGAAATGTAACACTTGACAGCATGTGATAACTGTGCAACTGATTCATTGTATGGAGCCAGCAGTTGGCATGGCGGTTAGGATGCTGGGCTCCCACACAGGGTGACTACAGTTCAAGTCCCAGACCCGGCAGCTTGAGAATCACACCAAGTGTATGTGTATATAAGCCCAAAATCCCAAGAGAAGAATGGAGAAGGGATTGTAGCGTGGCCATTCTCCCTGGGTTTTTTGTTTGTTTTTCACTTTCCCTCTCTGTCTCTACAGCAAGGCCACATACCCTATGGCAGACCAATCTTTTTCTTTAAAAAAAGGCTTATTCTAAAGCACCAGCCTCCTAAGTATATTTAATCACACAGTCACATTGTGGCCTAAGAACCATACATTCTGTAGGTGGCTGATAAAGCATGCCCCACCCCACCCCACACACACCTGCACTCCTTGTTGTGCCTGAAATACAGAATGAGTCCATGTCTCAGCTTTCTGAGGAAGACAGGCACAAGCCTACTGAGTGTGCTGTTTTCCCTGTCCCATGTCAGAGCAGAGCACATCATAACCAGCCTAGGAAGCTTGTATCTAGTGAGTGCAAGCTGCCATGATGAAGTATGTAGACTGTGTGGCTTATCAACCACACAAGCGTTAGTACTTATGGTTCTAAAGGCGGGAAACCCAAGACCACGGTGCCAGCATGGCTGGGTTCTGATGCAGGCTCACTTCAGGTTGCATACTACCAGAGCCACTGAATCCCTTTTGGGGGGTGGGGTGCACTAATCCTATTCAAGTTTGGCCTCAGGACCTAATCGGATCCCAGGGTGCCATTACCTTCTATCACCACCTTGAGAGTAAAGTTAGGCTCTGAACATGTGGTCAGGGGGAGGGCCCAGAGACGATGTCTAGTCCGTAAGTCACACTGGAGTGTTTCATTGCTGTCTGTTGAGCTAGCAGTAAATCAGTCAGTATAATCGATAAACACTTTCTAGACTAATTGGTAAACCTGGGAGTCCATTTTGTGAAAACAGTACCATATATATCCACAGATGTTCACATTAGTATAGGCTAATATATTAGGTCAGAAAAGTCATGGCATATGAAAAAATGTGTCATGACCTTCCTTTTGACCCAGTATGTTGTCTATAAGTTAGAAAACAAGTGGTCAAGTTCTCAAATAGTTTTATACACATACATATAAATTAGATGTGTTTAAAATTTAAAAATCCTCAACTTCTCCTTGCTTTGAGAGTTGGATGACAAACTATCCCTTCAAAATTACAAGAAAAAATGTTTCTAAAAAAGAGCAGAAGAGCTTGACAACTCTGCCCTCACAAGGCCCCTTTCCTGTGTGCTCCCTAGATATCCACCAGGCATCGTGGGCGTGGCTCCAGGAGGACTCCCAGCAGCCATGGAAGGGATCATCCCTGGAGGCATACCAGTGACTCACAACCTCCCCACAGTGGCACACCCTTCTCAAGCTCCTTCTCCCAACCAGCCCACAAAACACGGGGACAATCGAGAGCATCCCAACGAGCAATAGCAGAGAGTGCTGAAAGGTAATCAATCTGATAAACTTGGGACCAAGAGACAGAGAAAAATAGATGAACTAAGAGAAAAAGAATTTGACAGTCTTTTTAACTGATTTCTGGACATATGCATCATTGATGTTGCAGTGTTAAAACCACAGAAGCTAGAAAACTGAAGATTTCGTCTACATACGGAAGCGCTGAAAGACTAGGACGTGATTTATTAACGACCAACTTCTGTTATTGTGTGTTAAGTTTTTCATCTGTGCATCAAATCACAAAGATTAAATAGAGCTTTTTCCTTTATCAGTCCCTTGGGCACAACAGGTCCTGAGCACCTTGCTCTAGAATGTTGCATCAAGAGTTCCAAACATCAAAATAAAAAATATTAAGAGGAAATCCCCATCCTATGACTCTAGTCCCTTCAGTCTGCAGGGGCTGGTTACCTCTTTTTTGCTAATAGGAAGATTAAATTACTACAAAAATGGGGAGAAAACTGTATGCCTGTGTTAAACATCCACACTGTAGGATCGAAGACCGTACAGGCTCCTGTACAGAGAAATGTGTCTCACATCAGAACTGCATAGTGAGCGGGCGAGTTGGCTGGAAGTTCAGTAATACCCTCTGATGATGCAAAAAAAAAAAAAAAAGTATTAAGTTTCACAAGCTGTTTGTACTCAAATATATTTTCTCAGTTTCAGATCCTCAGCTATTTTATTGAGTGGAAAGTCTTGAACTGAAAGAGTTCAAGAAGAATAATGTTGCATTTCCTTATGTCTCAGGAAACACTTTTTATGGTAACTTGTCAGATTGTCTATGAACAAACCCACTTTTTTAGACATTGATAAAGTCTTCTTTTCTTCACGTGATATTTTATACAAGAACACTTCAAACGTGTTATTAGATGTGACTGATTTTAACAAATCCTATTAGATTTGTATCAACTAGTTACATGTTCTATTCATAGTCTTTTGTGAATCATTGCCTTTTTGTTTAAAAAGATGGCCTATTTTGAGCCTTTGTATAGGTACATTCCTGTTTTTGTGACAAAAGAAACTTTAACTGTCCCAAACAGAAAAATAATGGCTATCAGAAGTATGTTTTGTTTTAGTGTGAGTTACCGTTACTGTATTTGTTTATTGTAAAGGTGGACATTTAGCGTTCAGTGCAGTTTTCAATAAAAAGTAATTAAAATTCTGTTAAGTTCTGAAATTCAAGTACATCTCACCAATGTAAAAGTTCCCTACTTGAGATGTTGAAAGGCAACTGCATTGGCATTAGCCAGTTTCCAGCCGTTACTCCAGGGATGTGCCTGTCTATTCCACAACCAGACTCAAGAACGCTGACAATTACCTCATGTGGTCAAGTTTAACTGAAAAAACCTCACACGAGTCCATCGTTACCACATCATGCCAACCATATGATGAAATAGTGGGCTGAAAGCTAAGTCAATTCAAGAAACAAGCTGCTCAGGTTTTAGTTTAGTTTTGGTTTTAATTTACCTAAAAGCAAAATTACCTTGCTCAAGGATTAATGAAGGGAGGGTGGTGAATCTTCAAACTTTTTTGCCCGTGTCCTAATGATTGTGGTATTTACAGGGAAGTATTGCAAAATAATTAACATCAGCCATCTCCACAGGTTAAGAACTTTAAATTGATTTAATGGATCTCTCTTTTTAAATATCATTAAACTCTTTATAAATAGTGGTGCCTGCAAGTGTTGATCAAGTCCAACAATTCCAGGTAGCAAAGTCACTTTCATCCTTTCTTCTTCCTTCCCTTCCCATTAAAAAAAGAAACAATGGTGTCTTAAATAATCAACCTGCCTGGCCTTTTCTCCTCACTCATTTTAAGGTGGTGGCCCCATCCCAACTGCCCACAGAATACATTAAAACAACCTCTGAGGTTGAGGGAGAGAACACATGATTACTGACCTATCAACCTATCAATCACTCCAGGGAGAAAGGTAGCTTAACATTATCCTTATAATCACTCATCAGATAGGCAATGAAATGTGGACGAAAAGGAGGCCCCAGTATCTGTGCAGAGCACTATTTTCCCCTAACACACATTAGGTCTAGGACACAATGAGCCTAAAAAAAACAAAAACCATAAAAAGGCAGTCTGAATCCATCGTGCACCTGGGTTTTAGTTTTAATTAGATCTTGGTTGCCCAAAACAGTCCTTTGGAAATGATTATATATCTAAATTGACTCAGAAGAAGAACAGGTCAGAACACACAGTTTTTATAAGTCTACACAGTTCAGGTATTACTGTCCAGTGCTTACCCAGACACGTATAATCTTTGACAAAGGACTGCACACTCTATCTTGGGACAATAATTATGGCTGTTTAATGTTCAAGAGCTTAATATAGCAATTTACCAAAAGGTTTTGGCCTTTAACAGCGAAAACCATTTAAAGTCCCATTCCAGTCTAGAGCCTAGGAAATGGGACCATCTATAA